AAAAAAAAATTTGCGAAATAGAGTAGACATGCGATTTCGGAAAAGAAACTAAATCCAGTTTCTGAGAATATGGCCATCTCCGAATATGCCTAACGAAATGTTGGTAGGCTTCGCAAGATTTCGGTTTTCAAAAAAAAATTGCGAGATAGAATGGAAATTCGATTTTCAGAAAATAATAATTCCAGTTTCCGAGAATATGACCACTTCTATCGTTATCCCAATATGCCTAGAAAACAAAATGTTAACCTCAGAAATTTTCAGCTATGTATGCGAAATATCAGAGAAACGAAATGCTAATATCAGGAATTTTCAGATAAAATGAAATGCGATTATCAGAAATTTTCAGATATGTGTTGCGTGAAAACGAAATACTAATATCAGAAATTTCAGGTAAAACGAAATGCGAGTATAAGAAATTTTCAGATAGTTGTTGCGAGAAAAAAAGTTTTTTTTTTTTTTTTCAGAGATTTGACGAAGTCGTACTTGATTTACTAATGAGTAATCAATAGATCAAGCAAGCTGGCTACTTGATTGAGCGGGTCCTCTGAATGAGAGGTCCGCTCCGATACCAAACTGTTGCATACTGTAACGGTGCAGACCAGAACAAGAACCGACCTCTCAATACAAAATACAAGATAGCGTAGCGGAAGACTTAGATACCAATGATCCGAACAATCAATATTGCAATGCAGCCCCGAACATACATCATCATCATCATTCCATGGTGTGAAGGGGTCTGGCGCTCACACAGGAAGACCGCCAGCCCCAACCATACACAGACGAAGAAGAGGGGAAGATGGGAATGCCGTCAACACCAAGTCTTCGGCACAGGCCCAAATAGCCCCTCGTCAAAATGTCTGAATCCCAATGTTGAGTCTGGATCCAATGTCGTCAAGTCTCAAGTCACAACTCTCTCTCTCTCTGTAGTGGTCCGCTGATACTGAGAAGTCAGGTGGCGAGAGGGGAAGAAGAGATGGTGGACTTAGAAGAGGAAGAAGAAGAAAACTCTCTCTCTCTCTCTCTGTCCGGTACTAACCTGTGAAGTTGGCGCCTTGATGCAGGTACCTCGAAGATGGAGCTGGAGCTATGGCGCCACAGGTAAGTCTCGCTGGCCTCCGCCAGCCATCTCTCCCAACTCCACGATCTACCACCTACTAGCGCCCAGCGCTGAAGACTACTGCTCGCGCTAAGCTACTCCTGCAGTGCTCATCCTGAACACTACTCGTGCCTACTGTCCAACTACCCCCGTGTAGCCGTGTAGTGCATGGGAACTTCCTATGTACTACTCGGCCTGCCTCCTGACTGCACGGCGAGGCAGTCCAGGAGGCTGCTCTTGCCAATGCCGAAGGGAGTCAGGGGCTGCCGCTGCAGCTCCTACTTGAGGATGTCGTGGGAACAGGCTAAAGATAGCCTGTTCCCGAAACCCTGGTTTTGTGCCTGAGTATTAGGGTAGGTCGATCTTACGAGGGCCCGAAAGTGGCCCTCCGTTTCAGGCTGAAAAGCCTCAGGGCTGAAAAGCCCTGTTATAGGCTGAAAACGAAATAGGGCCTGCAGGCCCTCGTTTTCAGTTTCAGGCTGAAACGACATGGGGCCTGTAAGCCCTGTTTTCTAGGCTTTTAGGCTGAGAATGCGGGACGGGCCCTGCAGGCCCGTGTGGCTACGCAGTATGCCACAAGAACTCTCTCTCTCTCATATGCCAGGTACTAACCTGTGAAGATGGCGCTGTGCTGCAGATACCTCGAAGACGAAGCTGGAGCAACGGCACTGCAGGAAGTCCCTCTGGCCTCCGCCCAATCTCTCTCTCTCTAGTGCTACTCTAGCTGCTATGGAACCCCGCGCTGAAGACTACAGCTAATGCTACTAGCGCCCAGCGCCGAAGACTACTGCTAACGCTGCTACTACTCCTGCAACGCTCCTCCAGAGTGCTGCTGCCGAATCCTGAAGACTACCTCCTGCCTCCTGAACTGCACGTGAAGTGCCTGGGAAGTACCTAGGAACTACCTGCCTGCCTGTAGGGCGGGCCAGTCCTATATAGTGCTGGCCCGTCCAGGAGGCTGCTCTTGCCAATGCCGAAACGTGCCAGACCCTGGCGTTGAAGCTCAACCAGGGGTTGTCTTGAAAACAGGCCCGAAATGGCCTGTGCTAAAACCCTGGTTTGTTGCCTGAGTTTCAGGGCAGGTCGAACTGATGAGGGCCCGGAAATGGCCCTCAGTTTCAGGCTAAAAACACTCAGGGCCGGAAAGGCCCTGATTTAGCCTGAAACGACACAAGGCCTGTAGGCCTTTGTTTTCAGGCTTTCAGGCTGAAACGACACAGGGCCTGTAGGCCCTCGTTTTCAGGCTTTTGGCCTGAAAACATCACGGGCCTGGGAATGGCCCGTGCAGCCTGTTGCAGGCGCAGCATGTAACACCAATCAAGAACTCCTCACGCAGTGGCAAAAGTTAAAAGCTAATTAGAGTTGTACCACCTAACAAAAGGCATTATACAAACAATCAACCAATTCTCAGGGGACTGGCTGGGTAGCGAAAAAGGGGGTTGGATCGCACACATTTGATGGGAGGGAGGACAAACGCAGGGGAAGGAACGAGATGATTTCAGAAGGGACTACTGCATCTGCTTCAAAGAATGGACCACAGTGGACCAGGGGGTCCCTCTGCGTACACCCTCAGACTTCCCAGACCCCTTCCCGCCTCATCAGCTGGCAATTGTGGACATGCAATGGTACGGAGCAGCGTAAGCAGATGACAACCAAACAACAAACAGGCAGCGGATCAAGGTGGCAGGACTAGTGGACGGAAAAGCATAATTTTACGGGGCAGGGTGGCAGAGGATCTACCGTGTCCGCACAAAGCTGCCAGCCGACATCAAGTGGAACAGAGGGATTGATAGTGGGGGATGGGGTGGTAAAGTTGTTTTGGGAGAGGGAGGAACTAGTCTCTCAGCAGCAGGTATCTGGCGCCTGGTACAGGGCGAAGAGGTTTTTTCCCTTTTCCCAACAACCTGCACAGTCAATCCTCTGGAGGACAGAGTAATCAATGCTGGCAGGTGGCTTTCTCAGTTATATTTCCTGACATATTCCTGATTCGTTCTGTGTAAGTGTAATGAGCCTCAAAGTTCACCACATGGTGGAGTGCACAAGCCAACTTACAAGTCTCATTGATTCACAAATTGCATTATCCCACACATTGCACAAAGAGAAGATGGGTAATAGACCAGATAGCGCAGCTCAATTATCACAACCAGATTATAGAGAGAGATTCATGAGTTCAACTGTCCAGCGCTCAACAAGATTACAAGTCTACTTCAATCATCAAGAGTCTCAACATCTGCGCTCGTCAACTTTTGTCATCCACACCAAGTTCTGCGCTCTTCAGGTAAGTAGCCACCATGTCTCACTCTCTCTCTCTCTTATCTATCTCTCACTTGATGATTCTGGTCTTCTCTCTACACAATCTTCTTCTTCTCTCACATGCACACTCCCTACTACTAACACTCACATGAGGATCAACTCTGAATACTACTCACTGCTCTACTACTAACCACTAACTACATTGCTTCCTGGTGCTGGCGCAGCTATGGCTGCCCAGCCTCTGCTTCCTGGGGCCTGACTGGTCCCGGTAGCCTGTCTGCTTCTGAATGTCAAGGCCTGGAACCTTCCCGAATTTCCATGGGTCTGCTGCTGCTTGGACCTTTAGGTCGTGACTTTTCATTTGGGAACATGACTTTTGACTGTGGATAGTGACTCCTGCCTGTGGGTCACGACTTTTGCCTGATACTGCCTTTACTCGTGGGATGTGACTCTTCAATATGATTTTTCATTAGGAAACGCGACTCCTCTGTATGGCTTTTATTATGAGACGTGACTCTTGTCCCTGAGATGTGACTTTTTGTTGGGTGCCCGTTGGACCAGACTGCGGAGGTACCCGATTGTGACATTTCTGAGTTTGACAGACTCAGCCTTTTCTTTGTTCTGACATCTGACCCTGAGATCCGAATTTGGGGTCTAAGTCGTGGAAGGCCTTTTAGTAAGGGACGCTGGACCCGTTTTCCAGCAGGTGATGCTTCCCACCAATAGATGGAGCCTCTCCCCTGGTGCTAGTGCTGCCTGCTTTTACCAGCAGCACTACCGTCTTCCCCCGAACATAACGCACCCTAAAAATGAATGTATACAAGTTATACTTCTGGCCAGATACAGCCAAAATGAGGGTGTGTTGTGTTCGGGGGAAGACGGTAGCACTGCAGGGGGTGTTGTTAAAAAAAAAAAAAAAACTGGGTTAGGCCGATGCCCGTTCCAGACGGATGGGGGGGTTCGTCCGGCAAAACCAGACGAGCCAAAAAACGTCTCAGGATTTTTTTATTTTTTTTTCTGAAGATGGGGTTGGAGTGCGCTCGCTGAGAGGAGCCCGAATCCGCGGAGAAACTTGTGAAAGGCATCTGTGTTGTTTGGGGGGAGGGGGGGTAGTGGAGGTGCTTACAACTTTTCCTTTTCCTTTGTCTGCTGCCGTTTTGCCTCTCCTCCTTCCAGACCTGCCACTCCCCCCACCGATGCCGCTGCCACCGCCCGCCATACTGTCTTGGAAGTAGAGGATGCAAGGACCAACAGCGAGGGAAAAAAGAAAGTACAAACATCGGAAGAAGAAGGAGAAGAAGAAGAAGAAGAAGAAGAAGAAGCAACTTTCCCTTTTCCTTTGTCTGGTGCCGTTTTGCCTCTCCTCCTTCCAGACCTGCCACTCCCCCCACCGACGCCGCTGCCACCGCCCAACATACTGTCTTGGAGTAGAGGATGCAAGGACCAACAGCGAGGGAAAAAAGAAAGTACAAATATCGGAAGGAGAAGGAGGAGGAGGAGGAGAAGAAGAAGAAGAAGAAGAAGAAGAAGAAGTAGGCTGTGCGGTTGTGAATGGGGCTGCTGTCTGCCCGCTTACGTCCTTTTTTAGGGGCAGGAAAAAAGAAACGAACGGGCAACAGCGGGCAGTAGGATATGGCAGGTGGTACAACATGGCTGCCGGATGTGTGAGATGGTGGGCGGTCAGATATGGAGGAGGAAAAAGATGAGGAGGGAAGAAGAAGAAGAAAGGAGGAGAAGGAGGGAAGAAGAAGACGAAAGGAGGAGGAGGGAGAAGAAGAGAAGGGAAGGCGGAGGAGAGGAGGAGGAGAAAAAAGATGGAGACTTGAAAAACGAAACAGACAAAGGAGGAGGACGACGATTAGAGGAGAACAAGGAGGAGGAAGAGTAGGAGGAGGAGGAGGAAGAAGAGGAAGATCAAGAAAGGAGGAAGAAGAAGATGATGAAAAGAGGAGGAGGAGGAGGAGGAGAGAATAACAAAGGGGGAGGAGGAGGAGAGAAGGACAAGACGAAAGGAGGAGGAAGAGGAGGAGGAGAGAAGAAGAAGAAGACGAGAGGAGGAGGAGGAGACAAGGACATGATGAAAGGAGGAGGAGGAGGAGGAGAGAAGAAAAAGGAGGACAAGACGAAAGGAGGAGGAGGAGGAGAGAAGACAAAGAAGACGAGAGGAGGAGGAGGAAGAGGACAGAAGGAGAAGACGAAAGTAGGTGGAGGAGGAGGAGAGAAGAAGAAGACGAGAGGAGGAGGAATAGAAGAGAAGAAAAAGTAGATGAGAGGAGGAGGAGGAGGAGAACACGAAATTGGAGGAGGAGGAGAGAAGAAGAAGACGGGGGGAGGAGGAGGAGGGGGAGGAGGAGGACCTGCCGGTTTCGGAAGGTGATGACAAAAAAAAAAGAAAGAAAGAGGATGAGGGAGGAGGAGGAGGAGGAGGAGGAGGGAAGAAGGAGAGAGAGAGAGAGAGAGAGAGAGAGAGAGAGAGAGAGAGAGAGAGAGAGAGAGAGAGAGAGAGAGAGAGAGAGAGAGAGAGAGANAGAGAGAGAGAGAGAGAGAGAGAGAGAGAGAGGAATCCCGCCCGTCAGCACGTCAACTGGCCGTGCAGCTCGCCTATCCCGGCACGTGCCAGCTGCGAGCGTCGTGTTGCCAACACCACGTGGCACTTCGCGTACTAGAAGAAACATATGAAATAGGGAGGAGGAGGAGGAGGAGAAAGGAGGAGGAGAGAAGAAGATGAAAGGAGGAGGAGGAGAGAAGGAGATGAAAGGAGGAGGAGGAGGAGGAGGAGGAGGAGAAGACGAAAGGAGGAGCTGGAGGAGAGAAGAAGACGAACAGAGGAGGAGGAGGAGGAGGAGGAGGAGAGAAGAAGAAGATGAGAGGAGGAGGAGGAGGAGAGAAGGGCAAGACGAAAGGAGGAGGTGGAGAGAAGAAAAAGAAGAGGGCAGGAGGAGGTTAGGACCTGCTTGATGTCGATGGCGATGACGAAAAACGAAAAAAGAAAAAAAAGAGGATGACGCAGGAGGAGGGGAGAGAGAGAGAGAGAGAGAGAGAGAGAGAGAGAGAGAGAGAGAGAGAGAGAGAGAGAGAGGACGCCCGCCCGTCAGTGCGTCAACTGGCGGCGGGATTTCACTGCAGCTCGCCTATGCCGGCACATGGCAGCTGTCAGCGTCCTGTTGCCGCGTGGCACTTCGCGTATTAAAAGGAACACATCAAATCGGGAGGAGGAGGAGGAGAAAGGAGGAGGAGAGAAGAAGATGAAAGGAGGAGGAGGAGGAGGAGGAAAGAAGGAGACTAAAGGAGGAGGAGGAAGAGGAGGAGAGAAGAAGACGAAAAGAGGAGCTGGAGGAGAGAAGAAGACGAATGGAGGAGGAGAGGACGAGAGAAGGAAGAGGAGGAGGAGAATAAGGCAGGAGGAGGAGGAGGAGGACCTGCCGACAGTGTATGGTGATGAAGAAAAAACAAGAGGACGATGGAGGACGTGGAGGAGGAGAGAAGGAGAACACAAAAGTGAAGGAGGAGGAGGAGGAGGAAGAGGAGGGGGAGGAGGAGAGAAGGACAAGATGAAAGGAGAAGGAAAGAAGACAAAGAAGAGGTGACGAGGAGGGGGAGGAGGGCCTGCTGGATTTCGATGGCGATGATCAAAAAAAAAAAAAAAAAAAGAGGATAACGAAGGAGGAGGAGGAGGAGGAGGAGGAGAAAGGAGGAGGAGGAGGAGGAGAGGAGAAGAAGAAGCCGAAAGGAGGAGGGGGGCAAGAAGAAGAAGAAAAGGAAGGAGGAGGTGGAGGCGGCTTCACCCCGATGGCGCTAGCAGATTCACGGACAGCAACGACGTGGATTGGTTCTTGACGGGGCAGCTCAACTTGGAGCGACAATGACAGCTCGACGAAGAGCAGCAGCGACGACGGCAGGCTTGGAGACGGCAGGGACAACGGCAGGCTTGGAGACGGCAGCTACGACGGGCGGGCTTCATGACGGCAGCTTCGCAGTGGACAATACCACGTTCGAATTCGAACGCAGCGTGGTAGGCCAGCATGGGGGGAAACGAGGTCGTTTCTTGTGGCTGATCACAGGCGCCGGTCTTCGCAGGTCGGGTGCTGAGATCAGTCGCCGAAGAAGCCCTTCCCCCGGCCTCACTTGGGCCTGAGTTCGAAACAAAATGTATTGAAGTGTTCATGGGGGCCGGGGATGTTCCAACTGGGCGAAAAAGGCCTCCTGCCCCCCCCACGCGAAATTGCGTTGGGCCCGCCCGACGCCGAACCGGGGGACCCAACCGGCCGGGCCGCCCGGGACCCCTGCCGGATGAGGCTGGGCCGCCGGGCGGCCCGGACTTCAACACAGAAAAAAACAACTTTCCAAGAGGACCTCAAAATTAGGCCGGCGAGAGTGAAAGGCAGTCCACGATGCAGACCCCCAATTTGAATCTCAGGGTCGAAGTCTCAGCCGAAAGGGGCCAGTTGGCCAGTTTCAGAAAAGCTAAGTCGGGCACCCCCAGAGGTCACTGGTCAACAGTCACCTCCAATAGGCAAAAGTCACGTCTCACGGCGAAAGGTCATATCCCACAGGCAAAGGGCACGTCCCCAGGCAAAAGTCGTGTCCCACAGGTAAAAGTCACGTCTGGAAGTCAAAGGACACATTCTACAGGCGAAGGTCATGTCCCCAGGCAAAAGTCGTGTCCCACAGGCAAAAGTCACGTCTGGAAGTTCAGGCAAAAGTCGTGTCGCCAGGCAAAAGTCGTGTCCCACAGGCAAAAGTCGTGGACACATTCATAGGCAAAGAGGCATATCCCACAGATGAAAAGTCGTGACTGACAGGCCCAAGCAGCAGCACACCAAGGGAAAATTCAGGGAGGCACCAGGCCTCGACATTCTGAAGCAAACAGGCCATGGGCATGTGGTACCAGTACCAAGTCAAGCCAAAGGAAGCAGAGGCTGGGACGAGATCAGGCTCAGTCCAAGTCAATATAAGGACTGGCCAGCCACATTTCAGGAGATTGCTCATTCGTGAGAAGCGTGGAAGTGCTGCCGCAGCACTTGTCCGCTATCTGCGAAGTAGCATGCGTGAGAGCCCTGCTGGGCAGCGCTGTGCTGAGGAAGGGAAGCGGCCATAGCTGCTTACCTAGTAGTAAGAGATAGACCTGAGTAGCCCGGCTGGGGAGCGCTTTGCTGAGGAAGGGAAGCGGCCATAGCCGCTTAGCTAGTAGTAAGACATAGACCTGAGTAGTAGTGGATGTATTCAGAGTCGAGATCCTCAAGGAGAGACAGTAGAGGGAGAAAGAGAGAGTGCATGCAAGAAGAAGACAGAGAGGGACAGAGAGGGGGACAGACAGAGAAGAGAGTCACCTATGCTGGAATTGAATTGCAAAACTCTGCGCTGATGAGCACTGGTGACTGGAACTGTTTAATATAATATCATAATAATATAATGATTTGTCAGAATTTCTAAGGAACTCTGAAAACTGTTTAATATGATGATTTGTTGGAATTTGCAATCATACTTGACCTCTTCTCACTTGTTATCCATGCAAACAGCGAAACAACAAACTGGCGACATGCGCCCACACAGTACTCAAAGATATCGTAACCAAGTAAGAGTTCTCTTCAAAATGGCTATGGCGACTGAGCGCCCACACAACTCACTGTTCGCACTCTGGATCACCCTGGATGTCCCACACGCACACTCAGTGTTCATACCCAACACGCATACAGTACACAAACTCTGCACTCTACACTGAGCTATGGCAGCTATGGCTGCCTCCACCTATTGCTATGGCTACAGTGCTTCACTCTAGCCCCCCTTCGTCTTCGGGCCTCCAGCAGACCTCCTTGCACTAGACGCTGTGGCAGCGCTACCGCCTGGCATCCGCAAGAATGAATGTCCTGGCTGGACGCAGCCTCTTGATTTATACTTCTGCGCTCCGTTGGTCTGCCCTGTCTCCCTGGCCCATGGTGCACACAGTTTACCCCGTGGTACTTGCTGGACCGGACTGGTACCTTCTAGACCCTTCCAACGTGGGCTTTGCTTTAGTCACACCACTTGCCCACTTGCCTGCACCACTTGACCACTTGCCAACCTTCTAGAAGGACTGCGCTTGCTTTAGTCACACCACTTGCCCACTTGCCTGCACCACTTGAGACTTGCCTACCTTCTAGAAGGACTGCAGCTAGCCTTCTAACCTACAGGTCTACGGCTCGAATCCTGGCTACCTATAGACCTACGACAGACCTACC